CAGCATTTTTGTTGTTTCGTTATATTTTCCGCTTTAAAAGAGTAATATTGAAGCATAAACTGGTCTAATTGTTTTAAAAACATGCCTAAGCCACGACAAAGTATTCAAGGTAAATGTTTTTCGTCTTTGTTTTGTATTTTTTACATTTGTAGCTACGAAATTGGCGTCGCCAATTTTTACGAAATTTGCGATGCATTTTTCACTGTTGATTGCTTGAAATATTTGCCAAAATTGACCGGGAATACTTAGAGATTTTATCGTAGAATGGCCTAGTTATATTTATTTGCTCTTTGACTAAAATGTTCAGCTGTATTATCGCTAAACATGCCGTTTTTGAGAATTTGGTTTGCAACTAGGTTTCAACGCCATCATCCCATTGAAAACATTAGGTCACGTCAGCTAGTTTCCTATCCATGTATTTTATTATCCATGGTCATACAAAGTGAAATTTTAACTAATTTTGGACCAGCATTGTTCTCCAATAAACAGGGGCGTAGGAACCTTCGAAAAGTTGGGGGGGGGGGACAGGCTTTGAGGGTCACTTTTCGAAAAAAAGGGCATCTCCAAATTTTTTGTTGGCGACCTCCCCCCCCTCCGTCGTCAAAACAATTTCGGTCAGTGTACCATTTTAGGGGTCCAAAAAAATTTTTCCGGACACATCCCAAAAATATTTTCAGGATAAACAAAATTTTTTTCGTAAATACTAAAAACATTTTCGGAATACAAACAAAATTTTCCGGATATATGATTTTTTTCCGCAATTTTTAACATTTTTCAGGAAATAACGTACATTGAAGTTTTCAAAAGTGCACCTTGGGCTAAAAATGCAATTTTAATGAAAAATTTTCACGCACAAAAAGGGCATTTTGCTTCCGGAAAAAGGGCACTTGCCAAAACTTGGGGGGGGGGGGCTTCGCCCCCCTGCTTCCTACGCCCCTGCCAATAAACCTATGACGAGAATTAACAAGAAATAGTGGCCAAAACACGATCTTATAGATTTTAGCCTCCCATGCATTAGGGACGATTTGCTTCGTAAAGACTCCTTCCTTTGTCGCGGAAAATGAGTTTGACCAAAACTTTTCTCATTTGATATGAATAACTTAGTTATTCATCTACATATTTTAATAGGAATTAAATTTCAGAAGCAATCCATTTTTTACTACGCCTTGTGGAATCCATTAGGTTTTCGATCATGAATGGGGCAAATATTACTGCCATGGGGCAAATATTACTGCCACTAAAATCGCCGGTTCCAAATAGATATTTTGGTTATTATTACTTTTGTGAAAAGAATATGCATGAATCAATAAAAAAATACGGATACATATTTTGTAGACCCTCGCACGACTTCGGTGCATAGTTAGAAAAATTGCAAATATCCGTCCTAATCGTGAGCGCCATTTTTGATTCCTGAACATGTCAAACATATTCGAGGGTAAACAAAAAAATAAGACAATTTTCAAGAAATCACTGTTTGAACAAGAATCAGGATACATCAAGGAAGTTATAGATATACTATGAAGCCAAACGAAAATTGAGTCAGAATTCGCTGGACCGTTCTTGCAGACAATGCCTCTTAAGGATAAGGCACATTTGTTGTTGAGATCATATCTTACTGATCGCACCCAAAAATGCCAAGTAAATGGTGTTGTCTCGTCTGAACACAAAGTTAAATGTGGTGTTCCTCAAGGCTCCATTTTAGCTCCTTTATTTTTCCTAATATACATAAATGATTTTATTTAAAATTATCCGAATGCCTAAATAGGACAAAGCTAAGACTTTTTGCAGATGACACAAACGTCACTGCTTCCGGTGGTGCAATTAATGATGTTGAAAATGCAGTGAACTCAGATTAGGAAAACCTCAGAATGTGGTTAAACGCGAACAAACTGAGCCTAAACATTGCCAAAACTAAATTTATGCTCATTGGATCATGATCTCTAGTGCATACTGTTTCAAATTCAAATTTAAACATAATGATTGAAAACAGACCAATTAAACAAGTGAAGGAATGCAAGACACTAGGAGTAATAGTCGATCAGCATCTCTCTTGGAAAAGTAACACTGAGAGTATCTGTAAGAAAATCACATCAGCCATTTCTGTTATTAGAAAACTAAAAGAATTTGTTGACCGTGATACACTTGTTTCTATATTTAATGCAATTGTACAACCATACTTTCTCATGATATGATATAATGCTTAATTCTTGGAAAAGTAACACTGAGAGTATCTGTAAGAAAATCACATCAGCCATTTCTGTTATTAGAAAACTAAAAGAATTTGTTGACCGTGATACACTTGTTTCTATATTTAATGCAATTTTTACAACCATACTTTCTCATGATATGATATAATGCTTAATGTTAAAGAATCACAGTCAACCAAGATGCATTGCGAGCTATGTGAATGTTTACAAATACGGGGAGCAAAAATAGTGTTGTCTTCGAAAATAGTCATACACTAAAAATAATATGCATTAGCTTTATTATAAACAAAAAAACTTTAATACATTTACCCGCTGGTGTTTTGATGAAACCCTAATTCCTGTCCCATCGCTTACTACGTTCACGCAGTTCGTCCATACTTTGATGGAGCAGGATTTCGGCGAACTCGCAATGCGAAAGCCCCCGTATTTCCAGGCTTTCTTTCCTTTCCGTCCAAAGGACGGTTGTTCAAGTATCGTTGAACTTGTCAACGATATTATTTTTTATATGCCCTCACTTAATTGTTGGTCTTCCACGAACGGGAAATACAGAAGCCATGATTAGCCACTACTTTATAAAATGATAAAACTTTCTATAATCATTGATTAAGATAAACACACAGGCCAAAATATCAATCAATGATCTATTAACATATTCCAAGTATAGAAAATATGACATTGTCTAAGAATAATGCAGATTGATAAGAATACGTTTCGGATGTCAATATTTCGTCAATAAAGTGGCTAACAAAATGGCGGAATACAAAACAATGAAAACATTTTAGTGCGCAATGCATCTTGGTTGGCTGTGAAAACATTATAACAAATAATGATAAAAAAGAATAAGTCATGATTTGATATAATGTCTGTTCGTTTATCAATTATACGCTTATTGGCAAATCATGTCAACCATTATATGTCACGTGCAGTGGCTTTAAACCTGATAAAACACTCCTAATTAGTATTCTTTATATAAAGAATACTAATAAGGCACTATCTATTGTAGTCGTGTCCTCTATACGCTTATTGGCAAATCATGTCAACCATTATATGTCACGTGCAGTGGCTTTAAACCTGATAAAACACTCCTAATTAGTATTCTTTATATAAAGAATACTAATAAGGCACTATCTATTGTAGTCGTGTCCTCGTTAGTATTCTTTATTATTTGTAGTCCGTGTTTGAAGCCGTTTAACAAACTCGCAGATGTAGCTTTAAACCTAATAAAACACTCCCCTGGCGAATGTCACGTCACTGAATGAGTGACATGAAAAATACTTAAAATTGTATAGGTCGAAAACGTGATTCCAATGCGAGTTCACTCATTCGCATTAATTTGTGAGGAAGAGAAAATCGCCGACAAAATTGCTAGTGTGGACCCGGCTTAAAGTTGGTTTACACTCTATTTAATTAATAAAGTTGTGATCGCAGTAGGAACCACCATGCAGTCCATGGTATTATAAATTGCCTTGACTGGAATTTTGCTTATGTAAATTTTAAGTTTTGAAGGATCTGTAAAAAAATGCTTTAGAGAACTGACTCAGTGTTAATAAAACATCACTTTCATTGATAGTGTAAACCAGGCCTTAGCCCTCACTATTTCATCTTTACAACAATTGTGATATTAAATACTTTCTTAACTGTGTTTATCCTAGACCAACCCTGTCAACTTTCCACGTGTAAGGAAACCGGAGCATCCGGAGTTTTAGAATATAGAGTATATAATATAATAATACGCAATAAGCGTATTCCATCACAATTTTACAGTAAATTGACTTGGAGTACTTGGTTATTCGAACGGATATAGTTGCCCTTCAGTAGCATATTTGTAGAGAGAAGTATGAATCAAATGGGGCCAGGAACTACTGTTTTAAAAAACACTTTATTATAAACGTGTATACCAGTCATAGCTTTCGATCGTCGCCGACATCATCAGTCGGCATCGTGTCTTTTTGTACGTACATATTACTATATTATAGTTTGTGGAAACAACACCATGATCAATTGCGCTAAACATCAAGTTTTATACGCAACCTAATCTTCACAACAATGACCAATCCCATATTAATCAAAATTTTGAACTCAACAAGTCTAAATCATAGACAAAATTTTCATCACAGTTCGAAAGAGCATCACAAAATTAGCAATATTCCAAATTTTCGTTGCAAAATGTTGTAAAATGCAGATGATATAGCCTAATTTTGCGATGCTCTTTCATGCTGTGATGGAATTTTGTCTAGACTTGAAGAGATCAAAATATTGGTTAATTGGGGATTGGTCCATTGTGACACCACCTTCTTGACTTTATCCTAATTCTCCCTCGGACAACTTTCCCTGTATAGGGAAACCGGACGATCCGAAGAAATCCCACGACTTTCGGCAGAGCGTTTACTGCATGGCTCTTGTCACACGAGTCTGCAGTCTGTAGCCAGGATCGAAGTTATCGCACCCACGAACACTCAGAGGTGAAAGGCGCTTGTATTGACGACTACGCCACTGAAGCTCCTGCAAGAGGTTCTGATAGTTTCTCGTTATTGTTGGAAAAGGACACGTATTGTCCAGATATAAATTGGTTATTGCTATTTCGTCGATTGCTGGTGAATAACTTTTGAGGTCACGCCAATATAGTCGCTTCCAGCTCAATGAGCTCATTATCTGCATGGCGAATAAAATGTTCTAAACCTTGTCACAAGAAATGTGCAGAGGAAGCTATATCTTTCAAGCTACACAGGCAAAGACATTTGCTTCATATTTAAACTAACTGAAGCACAATTTTCGCCATAAACTAAATGTAGCGCAAGTGTAACGTCAGCAGTAATTTTATGTGACAGAATACTAATCGTACACGACATATCACAACAGCTTGACACAGAAGAGACATTCAACAGAAGTCCGACTCTAGGCTAATTTCCTCTCCGGAAAATAAGCAGCAGATTAGCTGATATTCCGATTGATCCGGCGACGTTGCTGGCCGGATAATAAAAAGTTAAAACGTACTGTTTTTGGTCCGGTCCGCGGATTAAACCTACATGGCGACCAATCAAAATGCCATATTATTTCACATAAATTAGAATAATTAAATACCAGTATAAAATTTACAAAATGGAGAATGTGAGATGGAACGAGCTCCATCTTTTCCCTTCTCCCATCCGATCATTCCACCGTTGTTCTTTTACTGGAAATCGCTTGTTGGATCGGACCGGATCGGAAAAACCTTCGATCCGGTCCGATCCGCTGCTTATTTTTCGGAGTGGAAATTAGACTTTAGGCAAGACTAACCGCCGCCCACCATGACCCGCACTGCACTCGTCATGGATCCAAGCTAAAGGCATTTTCCATTGCAGTCGCTTTGCCCGCACGGGCGGAGCGAACAGTACTCAACTTTCTCTGTAGTTGCCTAACCTGTGCATTTTTTGTCCGCCTGAATGCTCGCGGACACGCCATGAAAGTAGAACTACACTCAACTTCCTTGATCATCTGATTACCTGATTCTGATCATCTGATTATCAATTTCCCGTTTGTAATGCAAAATGACTGAAAAACGGCAAACTTCGCAAGGCTATATTATCCGCATTTTACAACATTTCGCAACGAAACTTCGGAATAGTAGTAATTTTGTGATGCTCTATCAAGCTGTGATGAAATTTTTGTCTACGCATATCTATATCAAAATTTCACTCGTAAGGGGAAAAGTCTATTGAAACATGCCAACGTGTAATTCCGATGAGGCGTGGTGATAAATATTAAAGACTTGATCAGTTGTGTTTTGAGAGAAAGCCCATCGTCAAGATCAAGATATTTGTCGCCTGTATAGAGTAATTTTACAGTATACAGTACACACTGCATGAATTAAGAGGCTTAAGAACATGTGGTGTACGGCAAAGTATTTAAATGGCTGCAAGAAAGGACTCTTTAAGATTTCAATTTCCGTTATGAAAGTGATTTAATTTAATATGTCGAGAATAATCTTTTGATATGAAAGAGCATTCTTTGGCACATTTTCCTATAATACTGTATACCCCATAAAAATTTTCCTGTTCAAATACAAATAATATCTATAAACAACGATGCAATTTAAGTATGATTCATGTATTGTGTATGAAATCAACTTGAACTAGGGTATATAATAAAGGGATACCATTTGAATCTAGTTCATTTCAAGTGAGATGGTGCTTAATGACAGAGGCAGAGGATTAAACGGCAATTTTTTCAGTAAGTATAATTACTTCTACTGTAGGCTATATGTATAATGAAACCATATCTAACAAAATTGGTGATATCTTATTATATTATTACATCATACATATAGTCATATATATATATATGCTTGCCCTTTTTTTAGTAATTTACTCGTGGCAAGGTGCTGAACTAAAATATATCAAAGGTACCCCACTTTGAGCGAAACGTCCACCGCAATCGAGTATTATATTTATGACATTGACATTGTATGTATGCATGCAAACATTTTCCACTTTAATTTAGGAAATTAAGAACTTCTAACACCAATCTAATCAGCATAGCCATAGAATTTTTTTTATTCTTTATCACAGCATATTCAGTAAATTAGCTTATTTTCATACTCCAATCTAAGATACCCAGACACAAGCCAGAAGCAATTTTCGTTACCGAGACAGGCCGATATCAAAGTGGACTTGTTAATTATGACGTTCATGACTCAAAATTGTTGTTAAAACGTCGTGTCAATAACTAATCAAACGCCGATTACATTGTTTTGCAAGGCCAGGGGCTGTTTTCATGATCCCGCCGGTTTGCCAGAACGAGATGTGAGGCCGGATAATTTTAATATTAATTGAAATAAGTAGGCGCGGTTCCTGATTCAGCAAAACTGCATTATTTTCCTAGTGATAAATTACAGTATAATTACAAATGAAAGATTGTTCAAGCAGCGGTTACAATCTTGTTGAACTGCGAGATATTCTCGCCAACATTCCAATCCCTTTATTAACCGACGTATGCATGAACTTTCGTTCATGCCTATAATGACTTGTTTCAATATCAAAATCATCACGCTTTCTATCCCGTTTTAAAGATTGCATGATTGACTGAGCATGTTATCTTACCGACAAACAAATGTGGATTTGTCTGTCTTTGTCATCTCTGCATGAGTCAAGGAATCATGCACTTTCCAGTGATTTTAAATACATCATGAAGTTTTTTGTCAACCAATGCATTCTTTTAAAAATCATCCCTTTCGCTGGGCCAAAATAATAAAAAAATAAGTAACTACTGTATTATCATGCAGGCACTCGGAGACGGCATACCTCTGTCCCGAAATAGTATAAGCGCCGAAGATCTCACTAGAATCTCTTCCAGTTAAAGTTAGCCAAATTGCATGTCAATTATCCGTAAACATTGTTGTAAACTTGGGTAGCAGAACCACTTTGTAGTCTTTGTGGACGGTATAATTACAACCTCCACATTTGAAAGAAGCTTAGAACTAACAAAGAGGGCGAGGATAAAACGACGTGGCAATTTAACAAATTAACATACCCTAAAAATGAATTACGATGCAGTTACACGGCAAGATTTCCAAAGCAATCAATGTCCAAAGAAATTATTTCTTTGGTAGTGTTTCCTTTGAACAACAATACAATATTGACTAACAATGACTATAATAATAAATGTTCTAATGTGATCGTCTATACTATGGTATGCTACTCCGTATAGTCCGTATGCATGTGCAACTATAAATGAATTACTTGATATTCTTGTTGAGTTATTTCCGATTGCTCTTAAATGTGCTTCAAAAAAATTAAATGAAATTTGGTACAATTAGTAAATGCACTTAGCCAAACATTTTGGTATAAACTAGCTACCAGGTCCCTCTCTTTCACTGGCCTAATCCCTAGCTTTCAACGAAATTTTTGCAAATTTTATTTATTAATTAATATCGTTCTTATAGGCGTCGTGCTAAGCTTAAAGCACTTAAACTAAAACAAACGGCAGACATTATTTAAATAGAAAAAGAGATAACTGCTAACTAGTGAGTTGTCATGACAACCATACAATGATGCACACAATTTTGTTTAAGGGCACTTACTAATTGTACGAAATATCACTTAATATTGTTGAAGTATCTCTGAGATATTAGACTTTCTTCAACAGTGAGTCCGTTTTTCAAAATGCACGAATTACGCGCCGCCGTAATATGCGCTGTATATTTAGACGCGTAAAGAGTAATAATATATAAAAAGCTTATCTCCTTTGACTCAGGCAATTTTTCCATTTTAGCCAAGGTTGCATTCCTTTCAATCGAGGATTGCATATACATCTGCGTCATAGTGTGCAAACAAATGTGAGCAAAAGTTATGTAAATTTCCTCACAGGGGCAGACATTACACGGCAGTGTATTAATAGCAGTAGTGTTAGTAGGTACTATATGTATTTAATTATGTACTAGATGTAGTTAAGTCAGTTTAATTTAGTTGCAACCCCCGTTGGTGGTCGTAATGCTTCGCCAAACAGTTTTCCTTAATAGAAGATTCCATTTACGTCACAGAATAAATTAAAAGAAGAAAAAAAAACAGGCGTCATTTCGATTTTCTTCATTTCAAACAAGTATTTATTCGAAAGTGGGTCTCGACTATCATCATCGTTTTTTGGTGAGTAATTTATAGTAATTTATAGGATTTAAGTTGTTTCGATTCCTTCCAGAGGGCATATACTGTAGATAATTTATATAGATGCATTCTTCGCAACAGCTCCTGGTTTGGTCTAACAACTGTATAAAATTCACACTCGAAATTTCCACAATTTGCTATACTGAGTGTAGATGCCGAAAATTGTGATATATATTTATAGTTATTGAAGTTCAATGCTTATCATTTAAATTCACCTCATTTCATTGTAATCAGTGAAACTGCAAGTATAGCATTCTCTTTGTAGGGCTATCAATTGAGGCTTTTCTTGTCCAAAAATAAAGGCGTCAGCTTTTCTTGGTAGGGAATCCTTTTTTATTTAAATTAGTATCGCCACGGTATTTTCATAAGGATAGGCTATCATAGGCAACAGTTAACCGTTCCATAAAATTGCATGAATATAAGGTGAAACACATTTGGAATATTAACATCTTGTAAATTAACGATTCTAGCTATTTAATAAACAAGATAACAAAATTTTAGAATAGTATTACTCGTCTCTAATAGATTTTTGAAAGTATTTTACTTTCATACTCCAATTTTCCTACTGTATCAATTTACTGTATCAAGTTACAGGACTAATAATTATGTACATTGTCAAAGGAGAAAATAGTTAAATTTTGGTTAAATTTTGGTCAAAATGAAAATAAGATGAGAAATTAGAAAACTAACAAGTCTTTTCCTGGCAGAGTAAGCTGTTGTACAATTAAGTGCCATTATACAATTTTATCGATGACCCTGTCATTGAACGTTGAACTTTTACAATTTTCGAAAAGGCGCCAAGAAGCTTCGTTTGTTCAGGTCATATTTTAGCACGGCTATAAGTATTAATACCCCTAGACATACTGTATATCTTGCAATTACCATGATACAACATTCCACTAGAATTGCAAAGATTGCATGATTGATTGAGTAAGTTATTTTACCTGCAAACAAATGAAGATTTGTCTCTCTTTGTTTGGTAATATACTCCTACACATATCTCGCAATTAACATGATAACACTCCACTAGAATTGTAAAGATTGCATGATTGACTGAGCAAGTTATTTTACCCGCAAACAAATTAGATTTTTCTCCTTTTGTCATCTCTGCATGAGTCAAGGAATCACTCTCCAGTGATATTAAATAAACTTCATGATATGAAGTTT